CCCGTAATCAACACTACAATAGGAGGAAGACATTAGCATGAGTGGCCACTTTTCCGTTAGTACTTCATCACTGAAGTGCTGAAACATCCCTCTATCGCGCAACAGCCATGGGAACAATACGTACAATGGCTCCAACTCCGCCTCCAATTGCCTCTCTCAACAAATACTTGGGTTGCAGTCAAGGATCTGCAGCAAGCCCTTTCTAGAAGCGTGACAACGATTATCCAATGCATATCCTTGATGTTGATGATGCAGTATACTCTTTTAACCTTTGCCCAACTGTGGTCATGTTTCAACCTTTCCCCCTGTACATACTGCATCATCCTACCATCAAACTGAAAATCATTAGGGACATCGTTGAAGTCATATGTGGCCAATCTTTTTTGCTTGCCTCTTCTTGCTGCACCTCTACCAATGGCATTTTTCATTAAAGTGTCATATGCCGTTACTAGCGTTTGGCCAAAGGCTACATTGGTGATGACACAATTGGGATACAATATATAACTATTACTGCTCTGTCGTAGCCTCATGAGTGTCAATACTTCATCGATGTGCTGCATCAAATAAAAACAACATGATAAGTATACAATACCTCATGGAAAACATAAGGAAAAATAAGAGAAATAACTCACCGATTCGTCAAGCCACCTGTCCATCGTCAACATCTTTTCAAACCACTCCTGGGGATAATCCCCAGTCTTGCACTTCACATGGGCATCACTACCAGATTCATTGTAATAAGTATATAAGAGTTTTTTCTTTTCCTCTTCTATTGGCCTAACAAATTGACCTTTAACTCCTCTGTTTTTGCTTGCCCACTTCCTCCCCCTTCCTCTATTTGCACATCCCCACTTCCTTCGCGTCCTGCCTCACCCTCTTCCATTATCACTTCCCCACTTCCTCCACCAACCTCCTTAACCTCCTCTATTTTTGCTTCTCCACTTTCGTGGACTTCCTCAATTTTTTTCTTCATTTTCCTCTTCTTTCCATACGTTACTACAGTGTAAGGAGATTTGACAAACTTACTCTTTCAGCTCTCTCTTTTCAGCTCAGGTTGCACTTCAACAGCTTTCAATACTCTACCAACTTCCTCCTCCACCCTACCAACTTTCTCTGCCACCTTATCAACTTTCTCCTCCACATTTTTCATCCGCTCTTCCATCTTGTCAAACCTCTCATAAACAGCTGTTGTAAAACTCTCAAACAGACTGTTTATGAGGTCAACCACCTCATTCTCCTAACCCTGATGCCTCGGCAAAACGGTGCTTGTTGTACCGGTTTGCCAATTGGGTGCAAGCGTACGAACCTCTTCATCCTTTTCATCTTCTTCCTTCTCCTCCTCCCTCCCGCCGATTGGAGCTTCATCATCCTCAACGTCAACAACATTCTCAAGTAGTGGCCCTGCAACTGCACTTACATGTGTGACCCCTTCTAGGTCCTGCATTAGGCGGTCTATCCCTTCATCTGCTTTATCCTCTAGCAATGTAACATACTCCTCTCCCGCTTCACCCCTAGTAGCGGTGAGGAAGGGACAGACGACTCCCTGCAATAAGAAAAAAACTAATCAAATTTAAGCCACATTTAAAAGCAAGTGCATATTCAAAAGATTAATCCTTTAATCTTACCCGAGCCGCTTGAATTTCTATGTCTATTTTGTCGTAATTCCAATGGGTACACTTCTCGATGTGCCACCGCAACATCCTAGGAAATTGCGGTCGCTCATCCCCCCTGCCTTAGCCAGGACAGGGACGGCCTCATACATTAAAGCCTACATTGTAAAAAAACAGTCCATATCATAATTAAAACACATATAATAATAAAAAATATAACAAAAAGCTATTAATATTTACTTGCATGGCCCATGAGAAGCCAAATAAATTGTACGTGGTCGGTCTATTCTTCTCAACAGATTGGCAATGCTTTAACGCTATGTCTTTTCCTTGCAAGGAGTCCATGGTTAGCTGAAATGATACACATCCCCACGGATAAGCATTAAAGAAGTCCATGTTGCTTGCAAACTTCACCCAATCCATATTAACAGCTTTTGTTGAGTCTAAAGCCATTAGGATCGAATGAACAAACCATATCAGGCACATCTTGAACCTCTCTGAAGAGGTAAACCTAACTTCTCCTCTAAATTGCATCCCGTAATAGACGCCTTCGCCCTCGCGCACCCCCCCCCCCCCCCCCCCCCCCCCCCAAAAAAAAAAAAAAAAACCTTTTTAGACAGTTATCGGCTGCCCTACTCTTTTTATTCTCTCTTGCTCTTCCACATCTAGAAATGCCCCGCTCTTAAAGCTTTATGACCCTGCGAAAGAAAAGTTACGGTACTTTGTTGTTTTCTATTGTATATTTGTGTCTGTGAGTTTATTTTTTTTAATTTTTTTTTTTTTTTTTTTTGGCTTTTTACTGAGTGCAGCAACATATAATGCACTCCCTGCCCCCAGAAAGCCTTTTTCCAATTTTCTCCGATGTTCACAAAATGACCAAAGCAACTCTCTTTAAATCGGTATATACCCTTCTTCTGTTCCTTTAAAATCTCCATTATTCTGGTAAAAACTTGCCAACTCGACCTAACTATCACCCTTACGGGAAAGTACGGTACCTTATTGCTTACAAACTCCAACCCATAGTCTTTATAATTTATGCTTCGCAAAATCTGCACAAATAATATAAACTGAATATCAGCAAAAAAAAGAGACCAAAACAACTAATAGGTTGACAATTTGGGGGATATAGCCTTCGAAGGCATTGGGGAGTGGGTGTTTTTGGCCTCGACAGGACCGGGGAAGCCAATGCAAGCCCTACAGAGCCTGTTGTGGCAGGTTCCATGAGGTTGGAGGGCTAAGGACGACAGGAGGCGCAACTGTGCGTGGCCAGCCCTGCAATATGCAGGACAGCCCTCCAGCCCCCTATTCTGCCACCTCCTGCCATCCCCAGCCCTCCAATCTCCCACAAACAACCTTTCTACAGCCTCACTTGCCTACCCCCATCCTCTGGAACCCAAACAAAGTCACTCCCCCCATGCCTGTCAACTGCTCGACAAAACGCCACAACCATCATAACAATGAAACCAACTACATATCCCCAAATTCGCACAAATCAATCAAATTTCTCATCAAATTCAAAACAAAAAGTAAAAAGCGTACCCTTTCTTCACCACTGTCCTCCTCCTCACTTGAATTCTCACCGGCGTCCTTCTCTTTAGAACCATTTCCCGATTCTTCTCTCTTTTCTTGTGCCGCCATTGTCCCCTCTGCCTCTAAACCACCTTGACTCATCGGATGATCCACCAAAGCATCTTCTTCAATAGCCTTTAAACTGCTGGCACCGTCAGAGTCTAAGATTCGGAGTGAGGTTAGGTTTTCCTCCTCTTTGTGAATGTCAGTCATGGTTTCGCGTAAGGAAGCTTTTGGATCAAATATTTGCTGGAATTAAGGCACTGTTGTCATCGAAAATCGCAGAGAAACAAAATGTGTTCGTCGGTCGTTTTTTGAGTATATGGCTTGATTAAGCAATTTTGAAGGGTGGGACTGGGGGCTCGTTTTCAAATTTCAAAATTTAAACAAACTTCCGTTAATTATAATTTTATCCACTTATGTTTAAATCTTTTCAATTTAACTCATTTTACATGTTTAATGAATCCTAAGAACGCTACGTCAGCTTTTCTAAATTAAAAAAAGTTCAAAAATATTTTCAAGATCATTTTTTTAAATGCAAACTTAAAAGGTCCGAAGAGTTAGGCTTCGTTTGGCCCACATTTGGGAATACTACTATTAGTATTCCCAATAAAGTTAAACAGTAAAATTGCAAAAACTCACAATATTATTCAATATTATTCAACTTTTTTTAAACCCCCTAAATTTGTTAATTTAATTAAATACCCCTAAATATTTTTTTAGAAATTACAAAAAAAAAACCCCAACAACCCATATTTACCAGATTCTGGCCACCACCGTCGGAAAATGGCCGAAATCTGGTATAATGACGCACTACCGGCTGAATCTGGCCGATAGTGCGCCGATCTAGCCTTTTTCGGCCAGATCCACGATGGATCTGGCCGGAAAAGGCTAGATCTAAGGCCAAAGATCTGGCCGTTGAAGACTAGATCTTTGGTCGTAGTCAGTCGTCAACGACGGCCAACACATGGTCATCAACGACGACCGTATATTTGGCCATCGTTAACGAGCAAATACGACCAGATCTAGCCGTAGATCTGGCCGGAAAATACCATATCGACACAAAACCGGCAAGATCCAGCCGGTCATACGCCACTACGACGACTCCGACCACCCTTCGACGGTGGTGACCGACTGTTTATATTTAATAGGTGGGTTGGAGGTGTTTTTGTTAACTTTTAATGTTTTATTTTAAGGGTTTTTAGTAAATAAACAAACATAGAAAGGGTGTTTAGTAAATAAACAAATATAGAGGGTATTTTTATTTATTTTCAAATTCTACCTCATAATACCCATCCAATTCAACTCTTTTTAACTTTTTTCCCAAAACTTTTCTAAAAAGTGTTCAAAAAATAAACCAAACAGAACCTTAAATTTCCTCTCAGTAAGTGTAGTCTTGCCCTTTCTTATATTGGTTTTTGGAATAAAGGACCCCTGATAATACCTCAAATTATGAATCAAACATCTCCTTTATTACAAAAAGTTTATTTTATTTTTGAATCCAATTATAGAAAAACATCTATTTTTAAAAATAGATAAAACTGTCAAACATGCATCGTTTAGAATATAAATATGGAAAGAAATGATAAAAGCGCATTTATGAATGGATTGGGCAGTGATTGGTTGTCATGAGTGGGTGTGGGTGTGGGTGTGGGTGTGCTGATGCTAGTAAGGGCGGTTGGAGATTGGTGAGGAGAAGCGTAGGTGATTTGGGGATTTGCAGTGCAGAGTCGAGAGCTGTAACAAGTAAATAAATTTGAGGCCTGCTATAGTTAACGATCAGACATTGCCATGTTGGCTCCTGCCTCCTGGATCAGAAGATAAATTTTTTTTTCTAAACCAGTGTCACCTCTAACACTTTTTTCTCACCCTAAATTTTAAAATTTACAAAATCATCTACTAAAACAAAAATGAATGTACCTTTTACTGCAAGTTGTACAAAGCAAAATGCATACCTTTCCCGAAATCTATGTCAGGCACCCAACTTTTTCTTTCACATGAAAAACGTTGGATGTAACTGACTACATGTAAATTTCAAGTTTCCAGGTTGCAACAAAATGCCAGCAAAACACAACTATGGACCTGAATTCATATCAACACTGAAGATAACACCGAACGAGTAATGCAATGGAACTTCTTCATAATCTGGCATCTTCGGATGTTTCAAATTTCAATACTGGAGACATCTTCATACCAATGATTTGTACCTCTGGATTTGAGTGACCTTCCAGAAACACATTTGTAATCTACAAGACAGCAAAACTGAAAAATTAGTCTCAAATGTCGAAGACATTGTTTCATTTCCATGTGAAAGAAGGTTTTCTAGACATAGTTTCATTTCCATGTGAAAGAAAGTTTTGTATTCAGTATCAGTCAAAGAACAATGTTGCAAAAAGTTGATTAAATCAAACTCACAACATATGTATACCTGGGTGCATCCAAAAATTTTAAGGATCTTCAGCGACAAACAGCTATCAACAATCAGACCCACAGCCTCATTTGTCAAATTACGGCAAAATGATATATCTAGACTCAATAAGTTTCTCGAACGCTTAGCAAGCGATACTGCAGTGTTGTGGGCAACCTATAAAAAGTCACAGTTCGCCATACAAAATTAGAGAAAAATAATTTTTAACTCCAACCAATAAACCCCTTTGGCCCAACTAACCTTTAACGTCAAAGATTAGCATCTTAAACAAATAACCAAACATGCATCACACTCATTGCGTACCTTGCCATGAGCAGCCAATCTAGAATTATTTCAAAGAAAGTTCACTTAAAAAACATGCCAAGGAAGCCTTAATATTAATCAATCCAAAATACACATTGAGCATCCAGAGAGGGAAAAAAATGCAATTTTAAGTAGAACCAATTTTAAACCAATCTAACTTCTACAATATGCACAGACCATTACTCAGAGAGGTTAATGTGGTTACCTTGACACTGTTTAGAGAAAGTTCTTTCATAGACTCCCCAGACGTTTCCAAGAATGCAGCAATAGCTTCATCACTGTAACACAGAATAACATGACAAAAAGTTTGCGGTTTACTTATGTCAGGATTGCATGTGCTGTGAGCATTCAACATAACTTGTATTACATGGGAAAATGAGAATAAGAACACAGCAAATAGTATGTATTTTCAAAAAATAACCTTTTCCTCTAGAGCTTGCATTTTTTTCGAAGCAATATAAACAGATAGATTTAAAACCAAATCCTAGTTACACATTTATGAAAGAGAAAAAAACTCAATACTATAATTTGGTGAAGATTGGCAAAGATAAATCTTTGAGAAATTCTGTTCAGCTCAGTAGAGTATATTTCACGATGTTTGCAATCTATCAACTACTGCAACAATAGTTTACAAGAAGCCAGTATTGATAATCCATAAAATGCTATATTTTCCAGTGTAATATGCCAATTCCTAAATCACCCATTGCTCACATCAATGTAGCAAAAAGGACAAATGACATGGGGTCAAGAGTTCACCTGAAGGAAACAACTCTAGCATACTCATGGCTCTACAAAAAATTAGATTTAATTGTACTCCTTTAAGGGATTGCAAAAACCCTGTAAATCCAGGTTTCCCAGCCCAAGCAAAGACTAATACATTGAATCAGGGGAAAAGAAACTTCAACCCACCTCAGTTTTGCATCAGGAAAGAAGTTAATGACTCTGGATTATCAAATACATATCAAACCTTGATACAGAATTATACAATGTTCAGCAAACCCCATCCCTCAATTGTCTTCAATGTATAGGATTCAATTATGCACTGCTCACCATCATCATCATAGATTCATAAGTCCACCGAAAAATTATACAACCTTCATCATCCATTTACTAGACCATTATCATCCATNGTTTCATTTCCATGTGAAAGAAGGTTTTCTAGACATAGTTTCATTTCCATGTGAAAGAAAGTTTTGTATTCAGTATCAGTCAAAGAACAATGTTGCAAAAAGTTGATTAAATCAAACTCACAACATATGTATACCTGGGTGCATCCAAAAATTTTAAGGATCTTCAGCGACAAACAGCTATCAACAATCAGACCCACAGCCTCATTTGTCAAATTACGGCAAAATGATATATCTAAACTCAATAAGTTTCTCGAACGCTTAGCAAGCGATACTGCAGTGTTGTGGGCAACCTATAAAAAGTCACAGTTCGCCATACAAAATTAGAGAAAAATAATTTTTAACTCCAACCAATAAACCCCTTTGGCCCAACTAACCTTTAACGTCAAAGATTAGCATCTTAAACAAATAACCAAACATGCATCATACTCATTGCGTACCTTGCCATGAGCAGCCAATCTAGAATTATTTCAAAGAAAGTTCACTTAAAAAACATGCCAAGGAAGCCTTAATATTAATCAATCCAAAATACACATTGAGCATCCAGAGAGGGAAAAAAATGCAATTTTAAGTAGAACCAATTTTAAACCAATCTAACTTCTACAATATGCACAGACCATTACTCAGAGAGGTTAATGTGGTTACCTTGACACTGTTTAGAGAAAGTTCTTTCATAGACTCCCCAGACGTTTCCAAGAATGCAGCAATAGCTTCATCACTGTAACACAGAATAACATGACAAAAAGTTTGCGGTTTACTTATGTCAGGATTGCATGTGCTGTGAGCATTCAACATAACTTGTATTACATGGGAAAATGAGAATAAGAACACAGCAAATAGTATGTATTTTCAAAAAATAACCTTTTCCTCTAGAGCTTGCATTTTTTTCGAAGCAATATAAACAGATAGATTTAAAACCAAATCCTAGTTACACATTTATGAAAGAGAAAAAAACTCAATACTATAATTTGGTGAAGATTGGCAAAGATAAATCTTTGAGAAATTCTGTTCAGCTCAGTAGAGTATATTTCACGATGTTTGCAATCTATCAACTACTGCAACAATAGTTTACAAGAAGCCAGTATTGATAATCCATAAAATGCTATATTTTCCAGTGTAATATGCCAATTCCTAAATCACCCATTGCTCACATCAATGTAGCAAAAAGGACAAATGACATGGGGTCAAGAGTTCACCTGAAGGAAACAACTCTAGCATACTCATGGCTCTACAAAAAATTAGATTTAATTGTACTCCTTTAAGGGATTGCAAAAACCCTGTAAATCCAGGTTTCCCAGCCCAAGCAAAGACTAATACATTGAATCAGGGGAAAAGAAACTTCAACCCACCTCAGTTTTGCATCAGGAAAGAAGTTAATGACTCTGGATTATCAAATACATATCAAACCTTGATACAGAATTATACAATGTTCAGCAAACCCCATCCCTCAATTGTCTTCAATGTATAGGATTCAATTATGCACTGCTCACCATCATCATCATAGATTCATAAGTCCACCGAAAAATTATACAACCTTCATCATCCATTTACTAGACCATTATCATCCATTTACTAGACCATTATCATCCATCGGCTGTGTCTAATATTTCTTATGTCCACTTCCTCTTTCTCCATCTTAATTAATTCTATTTCAGATCCAAATCCCAAAAGTGAATATCACAATCTTTGGTTATATTTCATTATCTATCATTTCCCTCCTCCATCAAGTCCGAAAAGAAAATATTAAAGCATCAAATTTCAGCCAAATCACTGTTCATAATTGCATAAGTTTGAGGCACAAATGTTCTTAGGGGCCAGTCAACTCAACTTAATTTAAAAAGTCCAAACATAAGACAGCAGTCTAAGGAAATGCAGTTCCGCCCACAAGGATTAGGGGAATAAAGTCACAATCTACCGTCATGAAAACTAGTCTATTAACTCATAAACAACATATTTTGTATTAGGTAACCAAATAAAAGAATCAACTATTAGAAAGGAATTCCATATCTAAGTTCACACTCAAATATATGCATTGACACAGGTTAAAGCAGCAAATCTGTAACAGAAGATTATAAATAAATACTGAACAGCTAATACCTCAAGATCTCAACGAGCACAAAATAAAGTACATTGTGATGCAACAATAAAGTTTATTATGTAGTAAGGAAAACATACAAAATCCCAACATTAGAGTAAAAACCTGAACGCATTGTAGCCAACATTTAATTTTTGAATTGCTGGACTGCCATTCGCAAGATAGCCAATAGAGAAATCCGTCAAGCGACGCAAGTTAAAAATATCAAGTGCACGTAGGCCAGTACAGGTTTCAGCAATGGCTTTCAAGGAAATATCAGTCAGTTTTCTGCATCCAAATAGGAAGCCAGCATGACTAAAGGAGGCCAAATTGCACAGAAGCCAAGTAATTTTACAACAAAAGTTTAAGAAACTTACACACATTCAGTCAAAACAAGCTCCTTCATATTATGACCATGATCACTAAGAAATTCTCTGATAAAATCATCACTAACAGTTTCAATGCGTGCTACCGATAAAACTTCTAAATGTTTTAGCTTTTTCAGTGCCGGCAGAATAAGCATAGCATCAATGTTTTGGCAATCATTAATGTACAGTTCCTGCATAACTGATCCCAGTGAATTTGCGAGGATGTTGATACTTGTGGCGGTAACAAAGCAGCACTGGCTGAGATTTATACATCTTAGTGCTGAAGCAGAAGACACAATACCCTGAAGCCCAACATCTGATAGCCGGGATGCTCCACAGAGGGATAAAGTAGTTAGGGAGGACAAGCTCTTTGATGACCTGACTAAGGTAGAAAGTACAATGTGATCTGGCAGGCGTCCACAGTAGTCAAGTTGTAAAACCTAATTTCAAAAAGCAAAATGTTTCAGGTTCTCTGCAAAGTTCTTCACAATAGAAGATAATTCTCCACAAAATTCTTCTGAATAGAAGACAAAAGACTAAATTCCACATTCAAAATTCAAGAAGATGATCCTTCACAGCATCCATAAACAAAAGCAAAAGAATTTCAAAAGATAATATCCCGTCTCGAAAAGAAAAACAGGTCACAAAACTATGTTCCACTTGCAACTTGGAAATAGAAGCCACAAATAAGCTCATATCTAATTCATTTTTTTTTTTTCACAATTACTAGCCCTAGTTTTGAACAAGAAATCCTTCGTGAAAACATACTACGAAACCATCTACATATCAAACATTAAAATAAAACATTTAACGTGGAACAAATACTCATAAATTAAAGGGAATCTCCCACACCCCGACTTATTGCAAATAGTCATCAGAAAGAAGCTGTGTACTAAATTCAAAGTGACAGCAAGAACATGAAACATGAAATTAAAGCTACATTCACAAAAAAATATCATACCGTCAAGTTGCTGGTGTCACAATCCTGAAAAGATTCGGTGAACTGTTCCTCTGTTAGCCACGAACATTCGCACAGAAGTATCTCTGTAGGGGATCCAGTGACAAGGAGGTCAAGAAAATGACTATTCATCCTCCGAGAATTGCAAAGCATCACAGTAAGCTTGTGCCTCAGTGCATCCGGGACATTTTCAAGTGAAGTCATTGCATCAGCATTCTGTACAAGAATTTTCAAACATAATTCTTTCAATGATGGAATCCTCAATTTTGAACGACCCTGACCAGTCTTGGGAATCCACGTTATTGCTGTAGGTTTTTTATTCTCTAAAGAGCTGGTCCCATGTTTCCTTTTCAACTTATCATCTCGGTCCCTAATAATCTTCATAGCAGTAGAGAAGGGACCGGGCCAATCTTCAATCTCCCTTTCATTCTCAAGAGACACTTGNTTATTTTTTTTCACAATTACTAGCCCTAGTTTTGAACAAGAAATCCTTCGTGAAAACATACTACGAAACCATCTACATATCAAACATTAAAATAAAACATTTAACGTGGAACAAATACTCATAAATTAAAGGGAATCTCCCACACCCCGACTTGTTGCAAATAGTCATCAGAAAGAAGCTGTGTACTAAATTCAAAGTGAAAGCAAGAACATGAAACATGAAATTAAAGCTACATTCACAAAAAAAAATATCATACCGTCAAGTTGCTGGTGTCACAATCCTGAAAAGATTCGGCGAACTGTTCCTCTGTTAGCCACGAACATTCACACAGAAGTATCTCTGTAGGGGATCCAGTGACAAGGAGGTCAAGAAAATGACTATTCATCCTCCGAGAATTGCAAAGCATCACAGTAAGCTTGTGCCTCAGTGCATCCGGGACATTTTCAAGTGAAGTCATTGCATCAGCATTCTGTACAAGAATTTTCAAACATAATTCTTTCAATGATGGAATCCTCAATTTTGAACGACCCTGACCAGTCTTGGGAATCCACGTTATTGCTGTAGGTTTTTTATTCTCTAAAGAGCTGGTCCCATGTTTCCTTTTCAACTTATCATCTCGGTCCCTAATAATCTTCATAGCAGTAGAGAAGGGACCGGGCCAATCTTCAATCTCCCTTTCATTCTCAAGAGACACTTGTTCCTGCTCCTGCTCTTGCTCTTCCGAAGAGAAAAATGCAAATCTAGACGCATTCTGCCTTGCTATGTCTCGAAATTGTTCCATTCTTGATTCGCTCACCCTCACACCTCTCTTTTGTTCCATACTTGATTCACTCACCCTCACACTACTCTTTCCAACTACATTCTCTCCCGAAATATCAGCTGAGCTCTTAACTTCATCTTCCAAATCCACTTCAACATCGTCACTTCCTTTCAATACAGAGTCTTCAACAACCAGTTTCGCCTTCCCTTTCTCTTCTCTACTAAACCTCCTCGTACAATTTGCACTACGGCTTTGGATCCTCTCAGTCTTGAAGTTCTCCATATCAACACCCTCTTCATTTTCTATTATCTTTCCCTTCTTTTCATCCTCAACTTCAAAGTCTAATTTCCCCCTACTTTTCCCTTTCATTTCCCTTGCATTAACCCGCTCATCACTCACATTTTCTTCCCCTTTCCTCTTCACAACTTTCTTCCCTGACCGTAAATTCAAACACCCGCCACTTTGCCCACTCTCCGAACTCAATAAACCCTCATTCACACCCAATTTTCTCTTCCTTTTCACCGAACATTGCTCCGAAATCTGATCAGCGCAACAAGAGACTGATGATTTTGAAGTGAGCCGAGCACTACGTCTGCAAATGGAACCAGAATCCGGCCCATGAGCAGCTGCCGCCTCGCGGGTCTGGGAGGGAGTAGCGGGCTCTATGTTGACTCCATTTTTTACCGGTTCGGTTTTGGGTTTAGTTGGAAGTATTTCGCGGGATCGAAGTACTGTCATATTGATTGGAGCTAAAGAAAGAAAGTTATGATTGAAGAAGAGAGACGGTGGTGTTGAGGTTGAGGTTGAACTCGGGAAAATGAACAGGCGTATTGGTTTGTGCAAGAGTGTTTCTTTTTTTCTTTTTTCTTTTTTCTTTTTTTTTTTTTTTGAAGGGATTTAGGGTTTAGGAGAAACTTCTCTTGTACGCCCATTGGGGTTCTTAATTTTCCCGCCAAATATGGCACCTGTATTGGGCTTGTGGGCTACACTTTTTTGGGAGGGAAAGAACAGAGGTTCTGATTCCGCTGCAAGTTTTGTAGCTACGGATGAAATAATCAATAAATCATTTCATAAAAGACTCGTTATTTAGGGCTCCGTTTAATACACTCTTCCAAATGTTATTATTGGTTTTCTAATAAAGTTAAACAGTAAAATTGGCTTATTCTCAAAATATTATTCTATATTATTTAATTTCTTTTAAACCCCCCTAAATTTGTTAATTTAACTAAACACTCCTAAAAAAATTTTTAGAAATTGCAAAACACCCCAACAACCCATATTTACTAGATTCCGGCCACCACTGTCAGAAGCTGGTTAGAATCTGGTGTAATGGTACACTACCGACTTAATCAGAATCTGGTGTAATGGCACACTACCGACTTAATCTGACTGGTAGTGCACTAATCTAGCCTTTTTCGACCAGATCCACGGTGGATTTGGGGCCAAAGATATGGCCGTCAACGGTCAGATCTTTGGCAGTAGACAGTCATTAACAACGGCCGTATCTTCGGCGATCGTTGACGACCAAATACGGTCAGATCTAACTGTCAATGGCCAGATCTAGCCGTAGATCTGGCCGAAAAAAGCCATATCGATGCACGACCGGCAAGATCTAGCCGATCATGCACCGATACGGTGACTCCGGCCACCCTCTGATAGTGGCTATCGGCTGTCCGTATTTAATGGGTGGGTTGGAGGTGTTTTTGTTAACTTTTAATATTTTATTATAGGGGTGTTTAGTAAATAAACTAACATATGGGGTATTTTTGTTAATTTTCAAATCATACATCTTAATACCCATCCAATTTAACTTTTTTCAAAATATTATTCTAAAAAATATCAGAATAATGAACCAAACGGACCCTTGATATTCAATATTGCGTTTGTTTCAAAATACTATATTTTTATCTTTAAAAAAATGCATATTTGTTTCTCTATTCTCAAAATCATATCCTATAATATTCAACCATTTAAACCCCTATAAGTTTGTTAATTTAACTAAACACCCCCAACAATTTTTTTTTATAAATTGACAAAATCACCCCCACTCACCCACACTTGTCAGATTCCGGCAACCACCGCTGGAAGGTGGCAGGAATCTGGCGTAATGGTGCACTATAGATTGGATCTGGCTTTTTCTAGCCAGATCCACAGTGGATTTGACCGGAAAAGACCAGATCCACAGCTAAAGATCTGACCATCAATGACTGCTAATATATGGTTGTTGTTGACCGTCAACGATGACCGTATCTTTGTCTGTCATTAACGGCCAGATGTGGCCATAGATCTGGCCTTTTTCGGCCAAATCCGTGGTGGATCTGGCCGTAAAAGGCTATAGCGACGCATGATTGGCCAACTCTGGCCGGTCGTGCACAATGAAACAAGATTCTAGCTAGATTCTGACGATGATGGCCGAAATCTAGCAACTGGGGTGAGTGGGGATGTTTTTGTCAATTTATAAACTTTTTATTATTAGGGGTGTTCAGCTAAATTAACAAACTTAAGGTTTTTTTTGATTAATTTTCAAATTCTATCTCATAATAATAACCCAACTCAACTTAACAATAATATTTTAAAAATACTATTCAAAATAATAAAACAAACACACCCAAAATAATTTGATTATAACTACATCGAACTAGCATTTATACGAGTATTAAGAAACTAAGACTTTATTTTCTTACAGTAATGCTAAATTCACATTCCAATCTCACAAACTTCTCTCACAACTTCCGATATGACAGTTCACAATTGGTTAGCTCACAATTAGGTCCCGTCTATTTAATTGTAAGCTGTCACATCGGAGGTTGTGAGATTGAGTTCTAGACTTAGTATTACTCTATTTTTTTATGAATTTATTTTGTGTTTTTGAAACTATTAATAGTATTTAAAAGTATTGATTTACATAAGACAAAAAGAATGTGTTATGCCTAAAAAATATAAGAGCTGACGTCAGGTCCAGTCAGCCTACAAGAGTCAGATCATGGGTACAACCACAGCCTGCTTCCATCAGAATAGTGGGTGTGCGTCAGGCCAGCCAGAAGCTGTGGTGATCCCACGTGTCCAATCCCTGTTCTAAATCGCGCAAATCACTCTAGAAGGTGGGCAATGTGACATAAAGGAGGATTTGCACAGATAATCTCACCAACTTACAGATTTAGTGATCATTGCCTCAATGCATCCCACTATAAATTGGGAGCTCTTCTCTCATTAAAGGGGATTCGCACATTTTTACACTTGATTAATTACTCTCTCTCTCCCTAGAATTCTTAGCATTTAATACCTTGTAATATCATTGTAAAGTCAGTCGACTAAAAGCGACCTGACCATTACCATCAATATAAATATCAGTGGACGTAGGACTTGCTACCTTAGCATCCGAACCACTTTAAAAACTGTCCCCATTGCATTTACCATCATTTTCTTTTACATTCACGTGTGTCCTTTGAGCCTGCTCAACATTTCACACGTGCGGTTCGTTAGTGTAAAAATCACGCATCAACAGAATGTTTGTCTGAAAATGTGAATATGAAAATGGCGTTTGACATATTTTTTTCTGAAAATTATATTTTATAAATGATATGGCAAAACATATATTAAGTTTATATATACATTGAGTTTTAAATTAAATTAAATTTAAACTTATTAAAAGCATAGGTTTTAAAAAAAAAAAAATGCCTAATATTCTTCCTGGATATAAGTTAAGGAAACTGGAAAGGTCTTACTCTTAATCATCGGCCTTGGGTTCCTTATTCTAATGGTCAAAGATGGATAAATACATTAAATCAAAATTATTGTCTGATACAAAGTCTTTGTACTATACATAATCATAAGTTAAAGTGCTCAAAATACTTATGGGAACATGCACGATGACTTGTTAAGTAAAACAATACATGTATAATAACACGATATCATATATTATTATACTATATGATTTACTGTATAAAATATATGATGAACTTTAATGATTAAGATGTACGGGTAATAGTCAAAATTTTATATAATCGTTATAATATTTTGGCGCCGTCGGTGCCTAAAAACTTTCTAGAAGGTTATTAGATTTTGAACCATTTGATTAACGGCGATATTATGAGGATTAGGACGTCGGCCTTATTTTGTAAATCAAAAAGTGGGTCACATTTTTTAGTGACCAAAGTTGGAAGTGTACAGTACAGAAATTGTCCTCCAGCTCCGCTCACTCGTAATTATTAACTACATGTGCTCTGCCTAGCAAGTAACAACGTGGCAGCTTTTGGTTTTATTTATGTTTGTTGGTAGCAGGCTACATTGTGATTAATCATGATTGTTGATCACCAGAATAATTACAATTTAGGATTTAAGCATGAAAATGGTAGTGAAACAATTCTTTCCTACTATCGTATTCATAAAATATATTAAAACAAATAAGTATATTTATCAAAAAGATTAGGTCCAAAATTTTCCTTACTTAATAACTACATTCTTTACATAGTACAAACATCATTTGTGTAAAAGATTCAAAAAATAGTAGACAGTGTAGTCAGTCTCTCCCTTTCTTGACTCCATCCAACCAAACGTCCTCACCTATGTCCTGTAAAACAAACACACAACAGTGAGCACAAAGATGTTCAGTAAGTAAATCTTCTACTCTATATCCCCGTGCATTACTCAACAATTCGTTCGTACTCTTGTCCTTTCTTTAATTCATATCTCTTGTTCTTCTCTAATTCAATCTCTCGTGTTCTTTCTCTACTTCTAGTTCTTAACTATTCTTTTCTTCTTTGTCTATTCTCATCACCCATGGAGAATATCAGAACATTCCTGGATGAGACACTAAAGCATAACATGACATTTTTCTTTCTTTTTCTTTTCTTTTTAGTTCTTTCTTTTCTTATTCTTTGCCGTTCTTGGTCAATGCATGATTCGGAACCCTTGACCATGTGAGTGTACTCTCTTCGTGTAGATAGCTCTCATCCACATGTATTCTCCCGGCTATACATTTCTTTTCTCATTCTCATTCAGCTCTCTCATGGCGGAGACCGCTCTCCTTTCATGGCAGTTTTACATGCGGGAACTCTTAGCACTCACAGGGTTTCCTATCGCACAACCCTATTTTCTTTTCTTTTTCTGTACACTTATATTCATTTTATTCTCCAGTGCCAATTCTTTCTTTTTCTTTATTCTAAGAGAATTTTTCTTTTCTTTATCCTATTTTTTAGAGTTTTCTTCTCATTTCTCATATTTCTTTTCTCACTGTTGTGATTTACTCAATTAAACATATCATATGGATGGCTCATCCCTAAAACTTCTGATATGCATTCATGAATGCAAATAGTATTTTGCATAAAGAAGGTTCTCTACTCTTTACTCATGCTTTTTTAGGCATTTCATCAAAAATTGTGTGCATATTATAACTCTATTTTAACTTTAATTATACTTTCTTTCTTAACATCCAAATTGGAAGTTCAACTCCTTTAAAAAATCATCACACATCCTGCAAAGAAATCCACTTCAAATATTCCTCTCAAATTCTTCTACATTCTAATCCCCTACTTCTACAAAATTTATCAACACAATCACCCTTCTCATGGTGGAAATTCCTTCATAACAACATTGACTCATTCCATGAATTCCCATCAACTCATTTTCAAACATAAAATTCAAGCATTAATCATATATAAATCTCTACACATCATTCAATCATGCAAATCACAACTTAGGTGGATTTACTTACCTTAGTTGACGTAGAATTCACTTAGCTCTCCACTCTTGATTGGCTTGATACTTTCTCTTAAACCTTCATACAACTCAATAAGGTCCT